CCAAGGACCCATCTTTTGAAGAGGCCCCTGAAAATGCCAGATGGCTGGTGATGGGTTGATCCGGGGTTCCTGCTCCCCAGCCCCCAGTTACCCACCAACTCCATTCGCTTAAAACTGCACCTGTATGTCTCCAACTTAAAGAAAATTCAGTCCTGGGGTGCTGTGGTCTGAATGCCTGTGTTCCCCTGAGTGCATATGCTGAAATCCTAACCCCAGAGTAATGGGGTTAGGGTTAGGGTCAGGGTCAGGGTCAGGGCTAGGGCTAGGGCTAGGGTTAGGGTCAGGGTCAGGGTCAGGGCTAGGGCTAGGGCTAGGGTTAGGGTCAGGGTCCGGGTTAGGCTTAGGGAATGAGTATGTGGGGGCTTTGGGAGGTGACCGGGTCCTGAGGCTTCACGTCCTGGGATTAGTGGCCTTGTAAAAGAGACCCCAGGAAGCTCCCATGCCCTTTCCATCCATCATGTGAGGACACGGCCAGAAGATGACTGTCTGTGAACCCGGAAGGGTCCTCCCCAGGCACCAAGCCTGCCTGCATCACCCTGTGGCCTTCAACCTCCAGAACCGTGAGAAGTAAATCCTTCTTGTTTATAAAAACCCAGTAGTTGGTTGCAGCAGCCCACACTGACCAAGGCAGGATGGGAGTGAGACACGGGGCAGCCACTGTGGAAAACCAGTATGGAGCCTCCGCAAAAAATCAAACATGGAACTACCACGTGGTCTAGGAATTCCACATCTGGGTGTGTACCCAGAAGACATGAAAGCAGGATCTCAAAGAGATATTCGTACCCCCATATTCACAGCAGCATTGTTCACAATAGCTAGGAGGTGGAAGCAACCCCAGTGTTCATCCGTAGAAGGACGATGGATAAACACAATGCGGTCCATCCAAACAATGGAATATTATTCAGCCTCAGAAAGGAAGGAAATCCTGACACCTGGTGCAACATGGATGAAATTTGAGAACGTGACGCCTAGTGGAATAAACCAGTCACAAAAAGACAAGTACTGTGTGATTCTACTCACATGAGGTCCCTGGCGGAATCAGATTCACAGAGACAGACAGCAGGAGGGTAGGTGCCAGGGGCTGGAGGAGGGGGTGGGGAGTCAGAGTTTAATGGGGACAGAGGTTCAGTTTCAGAGAGTTCGGCGGTGATGGTTGCACTACAGTGTGAATGTACTTAAGGCCACTGAGCTCTCAGTTGAAAGTGGTCAAGATGGTCAATTTTATGTTCTGTGTATAAACACCTCAGAGCCACAGCCAGTGTCCTCCTTCTGGAACTCTTTCCAGAGCAGAACATAATGCATTACTTTGAGTATTCACAATAGTTGCCGGTGAGATTGATTTGGGGAAACCACCAAACATTACTCAGGTTCCCGTCAACGACAGTGTCTAGCTCTGAGGCCCACACGTGGGGCCACCACAAAGTGTCTCAAGACCTGGAGCCTGGGCCAGGCCACAGGGCCCAGAGGCTGGGAGGCCAAGCCGGGCTGGCAGGTGCCCGTCCCTCGGGGCAACGGCTCCAAGGTTTCTCCTGCAGCCTGTGGAGCAGGAGAGCCTCTGGGCCAGAACTCCTGCCTCTGCAGGTCCCAAGCCCAAACTCCGGCCCAAAGACCTCAGAAAGACTTGTTTCTTTTCCCTTTCTAACACAAAGTTCATCTTAATCAGAAACAAATGAGGCCAGCTTCCAGGCAGACCTCCTCTTGCACTTCAGCTCGTGCCAGTGACTAAGGCCAAGGATTTGGGGAACCACATGGCAATTCTAATAACTGAAGAACCGAGTTTGGCCTGGGCGTTTTCCCTGTGAAAGCGAACGTTGATCAGTCCTGCAGCAAGTGAGATGAGTCGCTGCTCTGACCACTCGTCTTGGCCGCGGCTCTTCCTTGCTGTGTCTCTGCTGCCCCGCATGACCAGCGGTCTCACCGGCAAGGCCCCCAGCGTAGAGAAGAGACCACACATCACACAGGAGCCCGTGTGTTCTAGCTGGGCCAAAGGGAACTGAACGCACTCTCTTTAGAAATCACTTGGCTGGTTCTGCAATTAAGGTAATTCTCATTTCAGTTATGAAATATTCATTCTGAGTGTGTGTGGTCTGAGGTGCTGTGCAAATGACCCATCGAAGATCAGTTAGCTTTCCCCCAGAAGATCTGCTCTTTTGTCTCAGGAGTTTCCCCCTTCCTGGGAGAGGCAGAGCCAGAGGCAGGAGTCCGAGCCCAGGTGCCCTGCTCTTTCTTCCTTTCTGCACATCTTCACAAATCAATGATACCCGGAACGATCTGTCGGTCTCTGGGGATGTGGGATGAGTGAGACACAGCCCATAGCACTAGCAGCCCCAGGACTATAGTGAAGGGAGATTGCCGACCGCCCAGGGACCCCACCGCATCTTCAAACCGCGGGCTCCCACAGAGTCTTGGGGGAGCCAGCAGGTGCGCAGGCCAAGAAAGGAGTGACCATGGGATTCTGACTTTTCTGTGCTCGGGGGACCTGGCTGGGCTGCTGAAGGTTTCTTGGATTGTGGCATTTTGAAACTTTGTCCAGCAAGAGAGAAAGGCCAAGGGAAGGGAAGGGAAGGGGCCATGGGAGTTTGGTGACAGACAGAGGAGGAGCACCAGGTTCACGCCTCGAGGCACCTGCCCTGCTGTCCACTCTCCCCGCTCCGTCCTCAGCCCACACTGAGCGCACGGGGCCTCAGCTTCCACACTGACGGAGAAACAAACTGCGATCTCAGAAATGCTTCTGACTTAACCTCCTGTGGCTTTCAGGGGCTCGCCGTGGCCCTCTGGAGGCTGGCCTCTCTTTTCCGACCGTTTCTTGACCCTCCATGTTGGGACCCGCAGAAGGTGTCAGTGACGTCAGCTTCTTTCGTTTTTCTTTCTGAAATTTAAGTCGGCACTTCGAGGAATGTTACCTATTAGGAAAATAGAATTCTATGACATTCAGAAGGGGAAATGATTTTCCTGAGATCTGAAGCCACTAGGTAAACCTACTTTAGATGTAGACTTTTTTTTCCTTAATGTACATGCAGTAAAATCCTCTTTTCGACGTGCAGTTCTCGTTTTGACAAATGCACAGTTGGGTGACCACCGCCAGTCAGCCTTCCCCAAACTCCCACACCTGCACCCCTGGTGTCCACCGATCTTTTCTCTGTTCTGATCGTTTCTTGACGTTTCCAGAGTGTCATGTAAGTGGAATCACACAGTAGGTAGCTTCTGAGTCTGGCTCCTTTCACTTAAAAAATGCATTTAAGAAATAATTTATGTGAACATAAGTTTTCATTTTTCTTGGTTAAATACCTGGTAGTGGGATACTTTGGTCATATGGTAAGTGTATGTTTATAAGAAACCACCAAACTGTTTTTCAAACTGGTTTTCACATTTGCCTCTTTACCAACAACCTATGAGAGTTTTGGTTGCCCTGCATTCTTGTCAACCCTTGCTCTTGTCAGGTTTTTTCTTTCTTATTTTAGCCATTCCAGTAGGCATATAGAACTTGTTATAGTTTAAATTTGAATTTCTTTAATGACTAATGATACTGAACATCTATCCACGTGCTTACTTGCCATCCGTATAGCTTCTTTGGTGGAGGTTTATTTGTTAATGAGATATTTCAGACACGCACATACTAATACAACAGATGCCTATCCGCCTACCCCCGCTAATGTCTAGGAGATTTAGTTTCTGGCCTGAGGTTGGTAATCTCTATGACTGGTTTTGCTCATTCACCCCTTACATGTAAATATACACAAACAACATAGCTAGAGAGAGTGAAAACGGAATAGTTCTGGAAAAACACAATGGACGTGGAGAGTGCCACCAATTTTAAAGATCTACCTCTTCGAGCCCACGTCTCCCCAGCCTCCGTGGTGAGGACAGCTCGTGTGTTCCATGCTCCGGCAGCTCTGGCCCTTCTCCTGCAGCCTCTCCCTCGACAGGGCGGCTGGGATGCGAGGCGAGCACGGGTCGATGGGACCCCCCCCCCCACCCTGTTTCTGCCCAGGGCTCTGCCCGGCCGTGGCTGCCCCGCTCCCACGTGGGCTGGATCCCACCCCGGCTGGCTGCCCCCGCCCGCCCTGCCCTGCCCTACAGGACACCATGCGGGGGCTCTGCCCCCGCTGGGCGTGAGCTTTGGTAGCTCATTCGGACACGGACCCGGGGCAGCTCTCCGTGGAGCCAGGCTGGTTTAGCGTGTTTGTCTTGTGAACGAGGGCAGGGAGGCTAAAGCCATGACCCAGAAACCAGTGGGCGCCAACCGGGGCTCAGCCGTCTCCAAATATGTTTCCGTGGGCATCTGGGCAAAGGCGAGTGCAGGAGCCGAGGCTCCACCACGAGACAGTTCCGCGCACGCCCTGGGCTGCGGTCACGGCCTCAGCCCTGGGGGGCAGAGTGAGTTTCAAGGCTGCTTTGGGGGCTGTGACAGCCAGAGTGAAGAGGACAGCCCCTTCCTGGTGGGTCGCCCAGGAGAGCTGTGAGGCCACTCAGTGTCTCATGTTTGCGTGGCCTCAAGGTTTGCGCAGACCCTCGCCCTTAGAGCCAGGCCAGGAGCCCGTCAGCAGACCCTCTGCTTGCCCGAACAGTGACCGCAGACGGCGAGGGTTCAGTCCATTCAGCGGCCCCACTTCTTTTCTTGCCTCTGACATTTGTCTTCCCGGCCGTGCAGTTCTCTTCATCCTCTGTCTTCCCGTGGTTTTGTTTTCCGCTCGTTACTGGACTTGGCTCATCCTGCCTTTCTGTCAAGTAACTAATTTGTGTGTCTGCTTCCCCCGTGGGCTGATGGAGAAGCAGGGCCTCCGTGCACTGTCGTGCAGGTCTTACACTGCGCTGCCTTCAGTCTTGTGTCCATATTTATAAACATAGACATATACAACATTTATATATTTACCAGCACAACTCCCTGGTTGCTGGCAATAAAATGCCTTAAGAAAGAAATGTGTGTCTAATTTGCACAAAGGTCCCAGCAGGCTAAGCATGGCGCTGACTGTAATCACCTAGACGGCAGTGATACCATCTTTTTGTTAATCCACAGGCTTTATCTTTTAGAACAGGTTTAGGTTTGACAGGAAACGTAGGCACAGGGAGTCCAGCATTCCCACCCCATCCCCTCACAGGAACCTCGTCTCTGTAAACATCAAGCCCTGCATCCAAGCCGGTCTGGAACAAAACAGAAAGAAAACCCACAGAATGGGAGCACATATTTGCAGATGAAGCAACCAGCAAGGGATTAATCTCCACAATATACAAACAGCTCATGCAGCTCTATGTCAAAAAAACAAACAACCCAATCAAAAAATGGGCCAAAGATCTAAAGAGACATTTCTCCCAAGAAGACACAAAGAGGGCCAAAAAGCACATGAAAAGATGCTCCACATCACTAATTATCAGAGAAATGGAACATGGGAGCTTTCTGATACACATTTTTAACAACTCGAAGTACCTGACTGGTCCTCTGAGGAAGGGGCGTCCTTCCCAGAACCCTGGAGGGAGGTCACCCTGGGAGGACCCCGCCCCAGGGAGAGTGTGGCTACGGCAGCGGGGGGGGGACCAGGCTGTCCTCGCTCTGCACCTGGGGAGATCTGAGCCCAAGGATGTCAGAAGACTGTCAAGGTTACCCCTGCAGAAGTGGCGCTGGGGCTCGAGACCCCGCGTCCAGGGGTCTCTGTCTTCACAGCCTCCCCGCCCTGCACCTCCGTCTCTGGGTCCAGAAGAGTGGAAGGACCTCCGCCGCGGAGGTAGAAGCCAAAGGGACATATTGCTTCTCGTCCCCCTAAACACACTCACCTGCCCTGGTGGGTTGTGGTCGAGGACTTTCTTGGGACGTAGAGGATCGTCACAGTCGCTGTTCCTTGAACCACGAAGGGCGCACGGCCATGTGACCTGTTCACTTGGACAACACTTGTGGGCAAAGGGACCTTCAGACGCAAGAAAGCCAACGAGCTTTGGTTCTCAGCAACTCATACACATTCTTTCTTTCTCGTGGTTTATTTCTTTCATCAACAGAGGACCTTGATGTAATCATTTCTCTGTAATTTGGAGATAACATCTCTTTCACTAAAAATAGAACACTGCCTCTGTCAATGCATTTTACAGGCAAGCCCTATCTTGCATGCAAATTAAACAAGAAGTTGGGATTACTAATAATGACATAACGGCGGTATGGGTATGCAGCTGAATTTAAGGTGTCCAAATTAGGAGAATAACATCATTGGAATAAAGATGTGGAAAACAGACCCCAGACGCACACCCTCTGAAAGGGGTCCCTCTGTCTACACGACAGTTCGAACATTATTTCAGCCACTTGGCAGAAACCTGGCCTGTAGAAACAGCAATGCGATAGTCTCCCCTTGTTCCACGCGGCCCTGTTTGCATCTGGAGGATCAGCCTTGACCTTCAGTGTTTCAGGAACAGGATATGGCAGACAGAACAGAACGCAGGTCACCCGTGCAGTGCACACAACCCACTCGAAGGTGTGAAGCCTGTCTCGGGGTCAAGGGCTGGGGTCTGAGGCAGTCCTTACCCCAGAAAGCCACACCGTTCACCTGGGCGCCTCATCGCCACGTGCCTTCCTGGCCTGGGTGACAAGCATGGGACAGAACCAATGGTGCCATGGAAACAGCTGGGAGGTGGGCTGAGCCTGCCATTTGGGCCACTTTCCCTGGTATATTTTTGCCCTCTTGTATATCCCTCTTCCCACCCCTGCTGAGTTAAACCGTTAGGTCTGGGAAGAGCAGGGTGTGGCCTGCTCTGTTGGGCCCAAGGGACTCCCCTCTAACCAGGTCATCATGGTGCATCTCTCCTGCTGGCTGACCCCACCTGGGGCCCCGGACCTTTCCGAGAGAGTCCACAGGTGGAGGATAGCCTCTCGGGGCTGCTGGGCCTGTGTCCTGGAGAGCCCGCCCTGGTGACTCCTCCCACCACAAGGGGCTGCGAAGGCGGCAGCCCCCTCGCCAGGCCTCCCTGCGGGCGCCTCCTCTTAGGTGCCGGCTTGCTGCGCCGCGGGCAGTGATGAGCCTGGAGGAGTGGGCGGTCCCTGCTGAGCCCTCCCCCCAGCACGCGCACACAAACGCCAAGGGACAGAGCCCCTCAGCATGTGTGCCCGCTGAGGCACTGCACAAACGTGGCCGTGGCCCTGCCCTTGGAGGTCCCTTTTCTGATGGCAAATACGGCTACAATGAAGGAGCACACTCACCACGTGCGGGCCACGGGCAGAGGCTTCGCGCTTGCTCTCCAGGGTGAGCCCGCGCAAGCCTGTGCCGGGCGCTCTGCAGCTGCCCCACCCCACGGAGGAGGGGTGCTTAGGGTCCATCCAAGCCCATCCTCTCCGGAAGCACACGTGTTACACCCCGTCTCTCCCGAGCTCTTCTCTTATTTGTGGGGCACCGGGCTGGTGAAGCAGCCAGTGACCAGAGACGAGCAGAAGCCCGCTTAGGAAAGAAATGGGGAAGTGATCTGGGGGTTACCCTGCCCAGGTCCCTACCGCCTCTCCTGCCTCATAGAGGGTTAGGGTGACAGACTGCACGGCAGGCAACGCCTGTGTGTCCCTTGCCCCGGGGCGGGGGGTGCGGGCTGCCTCTTCTGTGCCCTGGCCCAGGGAGGGGCTCCAGGAAACACACTGCTGGGAGGACTGGAGAGTCCGCACCGGGGAGAGGTCCGTGGCGCATTTCCATGGCCAAGAGAAGGAACGGGGACCACAGAGAGAGGGCCAGCGAGCCACAGTGTGGGGCGGCCGCCGTCGGGTGTGGAAGAGCAGGCCCCGCAGAAGGAGGTGGCCGGCGGCGTTGAGGGGGGGCAGCCTCAAGTCTGGGAGCAGCACGCATTCTCCCATTCTCCCCTCGCCCCTATAAACCTCCCCTGGGCCCGCTCGGGAGGCCCCGGGTCCTTCCCACCTGCACCTGCCTCTCCGCGGGCCCGGCTGGAGGAGGTGCCACGGCCCCCGAGTGCCGTGGGGCGAACGCTCCCACCGTGGTCACAGGGGCGCAGTCGGGAGACCCGGGCGGCGGCTCAGGGCCGTGAAGTGCTTCCGCAGCACGGACACGGTTACGCACATAGCCCCCAGGGCAGAGACGACAGTAAACGGCAGCCAAATAATTTGGAAATGCTGTTTGGAGGACCTGCTGTCTTTCCTTTAATATGGTGTATTACACGCTTATTTAATTTTCCGCCGTGGCTCTGTGGAGCGGCCACTGGACCCAGCAGACCCGGCGCCGGGGGCAGGAGGCAGAGGCTGGACCAGCGATGCCGGCGCGTCCTCCCCCGAGGGTGTCGCCGCGGCCTTCCCCGTCCTGTGCCCTCGCGCCCACCACCCAGAGCAGCGCGCACACCAGCTTCTGACTCACAGGAAACCCCGCGCGGCACTCATTTTCCCCTCCCGGCGAGGAGGCGGCACTGACCCCAGGAGACATGCAAAGAGGCACCGGAGAAGGCAGCGGCGGAGTTTCCTGCCTTCTGTTCAGCGCACGCGCCGCCCGACCTCTACGGGCGGCTCCCGCGGGCTCGGCCGCCGGCCCCTCTTTCCGGCCTCAGGCTCCGCCCCTCCGCGGCCCCGTGGTCCCCGCCGGCCCTCCCGCGCCGACGCAGCCCCGCTGACGCCGCAGCCCCGCAGCGCGAGGGCGGTCGCTCCCAGCCGAGCCCCACGGGGGCTCTCGCAGCTTGAGGAAGCCTGCGGGCGCCTTGGTCCGAGGAGACCGCGGGGCTGGCGGACACCCTGGAGGAGACCCAGGCGGGAGGCCCCAGGGGAAAGGCAGAACCCTCGCACGGGGAAGGGTGGCTCCGCCCCAGGCCCCCAGGGACGCAGAGCCCCGAGGGGGCCCACGCTGCTGGCACCGGGGGGGCCCCGAGGCCTGGGCTGTCGGATGAGCTGAGCGCCGTTTTTCCCCCGACCTGAGGTTTCGCTTTCGTTGCTGCTGCTGCTTTCTAATTGCGAGGCAGTCATTCAACGCCCCGGGCTGCAGGGGGCTTTCGCTGGGCTTCCAGGAACAGGCTGGCCGGGGGTTCTCGCTCGCGCCCCGGCCTCGGCAGGCGGGGGTGAGGGAACCTCCAGGAGCCCGGGAAGGGTGAACGACCGGCGGGCGCCTTGACGCCAACTGCGCCCCACCCTGTGCTCCCGCGGCTCCCCGGTGGGCGCCTGCTGGGGCGGGGCGGGGCGGGGGGAGGAGCCTGCCAGGGCCTTAACCCCACCCTCTCCGACTCCCTGTCAGCGGAAGAGGCCGAAAGTTCCTTGGAGCTCACTGGGCAACGTCCTGGGAAGGACCGGGTTTGCTCCCCCAACCTTGCCCCCGACGCCCCCCTCTGAACCCCTCTCTCCTCCCCTTTGGTCCATCCTTCAAGGGGCCATATTCCTCTCCAACGTCCCCAGAAGGAAGCTTTGACCAGGATGCTTAGGGTCCACCCAATTCTCACTCAAATATTCTGGTCCCACAAATCTCGCTATTGTCCAAATAGCTGTGTTAAAGCTGGATGTTTTGCCGGCATCTCCAGTGGGACTTCTGAGGGCCCTTCTGCCTTCAGAGTCGTCGGGGCAGAAGAAGGCATCTGGGATGAGTGGAAGTGTGCCGACCCCTGCCTCCCCCCCCCCCCCCCCCCCCCCCTCCTAGACCCTCAAGTCGGAGAGCGCCCTCCGCAGAACCTTCTCTTCTGTAACCCATCCTGGTCATCATGGTGATGGGAGCCCTGGCTCCAGCTGGAAGGCGCAGAGAGACCCCCAGGGCCGCCCGCGGGTCACAGATGAGGGAGGAGGAAAGTGGCCCGAGGGGCGGGCACTTCTCACGGACAGAGAATTAATTGCCCGTCGCCAGCCCTCACACTTGCTTCAAAAGTAGAAGAGGAAGAGACACTTTTATCCAAACTTAAGCGGTTCTCTTTTTCCTTCAAAGTTTAATGTCCCACACGGTGACTGGGACCCTAAGTGTCAGAAGACCTTGAATTTGCTGCAGCTGTTTGTTGCCATGGAAAGCAGCCGCTGAGCTGCATCCCGGGAGCCATCCAGGCCCTGGGCAGCAGGGATGTGAGACCAGAATCACAGAGAGAGTCCGCGGGGTGAGGTCGCTCCTGGAGCGGGGTGGGGGTGGGGGGTCAGAGGGGCCTGCCTGTCCCAGCCTGTCCCACCTGAGTGCTAGAGAGCCCCATGGGCCCTGGAGAGGCCAGTGGGCAGACGGCGCGTGGTCCCCGGGGGAGGCGTGTCTTTAGGACCTGCCATGTCCCATTTCTGCAAACTGAACCCTTGAACCTTCTTTAAAAAAAGAAACAAGTGTATTACAGCATTTTCATTAATAGGAGATGTCACTGCTTGTGAAAGTGACCAGGTTAGGGATAGAATGTATTTCCCATGAAGTCAATAGTCAATCAAGAAATTAATTCTTTCTGATTGATTAAATACTCCATTCATTTGGTAAACACTGACACAAAGACCTTGCTGGGTGCTGTGGGAAGATGGGGGCCTGAGGACCTTGGTGTCTCCCCGGGAGGGGTGTTTCAGATGGTTCAGGGGTGGACCTTTTTATTTCAGTCGTTATTATTTATTTTAAATGGATATTGGAAAATAGATATATAACAAGCACATCCACTTTGTGTATTTACAAGTTTTCATTGCTTACAATGATGCTAAAGCAGACATTTAAACTTGAAAAGTGAGTCAAACTAAAGATTTTTTTAAAAATCTTTAAAAAATAGGACTGGCTTCCCTGGTGGCGCAGTGGTTGAGAGTTCGCCTGCCGATACAGGGGACGCGGGTTCGTGCCCCAGTCCGGGAAGATCCCACATGCCGCGGAGCGGCTGGGCCCGTGAGCCATGGCCGCTGAGCCTGCGTGTCCGGAGCCTGTGCTCCGCAAGGGGAGAGGCCACAACAGTGAGAGGCCCGCGTACCGCAAAAAAAAAAAATAACAGGACTTTTAAATGTATTTTGAGAAGTCACATTTTACATAGATAATAGCATATTGAATAAATAATATTTGTCATCATAAATGTTAATTCGATAATATTTACATAATTATAAACAAAATTTTGAAGGCAGAATATATGTGACTAAAATTTAGGAAACACTGAACTAAGATACCTTCCCTCCCCTCGAAGGAGCTCATGATAAGTACCAAGCTTAACCTAGCAACCACCCACGTCTCCATGTCACTAACTCTCAGCATCTAGCGCAATGATGCCCAAGAAACTCAAAAACAGGGCTTCCCTGACGGCGCAGTGGTTGAGAGTCCACCTGCCAATGCAGGGGACACGGGTTCGAGCCCCGGTCCGGGAAGATCCCACATGCCGCGGAGCAACTAAGCCCGTGCGCCACAACTACTGAGCCCACGTGCTGCAACTACTGAAGCCCGCGTGCCTAGAGCCCGAGCTCCGCAACAAGAGAAGCCACCGCAATGAGAAGCCCGCGCAGCACAATGAAGAGCAGCCCCCGCTCGCGGCAACTAGAGAAAGCCCGCGCGCAGCAACGAAGACCCAACGCAGCCAAAAAAAAAAAATTAAAAAAAAAAAAGAAACTCAAAAACAGAGCGTTTCACAGCAGGAAGATGGGGCCACGGTGCAGGACGACCTGGGGTCAGGTTTCTTCCCGGGGACTTGCTGGCCACACAACTGTAACAAGGTACCTACTTTCACGGCTCTCAGTTTCCCCAACAACAGGCGAGAAATACAATATTTGTCCGCTAGGATTCCGTCAAGGATCACAGGAACTTAGCACCCGGGAAACAGTAAAGAGAACCCGAGAGAGGGTTACCATACCTCAGCACGTGATCCCACATCCTTGGTTCTTCTCCCTTTAGGGAAGTCTCTGTTTCTGGTCACTTTCCCATCTAAAGGGATGGGCCCCCACCTGTGGGTGTTGTCTTGGTGAAAAAGGCCAAACATCTCAGAAAGTCTGGGTTTGATGGCTGAGGATGGGCACTCTCAGCCTCTCTGCCCCTCGACTACAGCTTGAAGTTAGAAAGATCTACATTAGAGTCCTGGCTTTGCCTCTTAGTAGTTGTCCAACATTGGGCAGTAACTTTAGGATTTCTGAGCCTCAGTTTCTGCAGCTTAAAAATGAAGGATGAAAATGCATCCTTCTTGGAAGCCACACTGCCGCCCAGCCAGTGGAGACGCCTGCCCACAACACCTGTTCAGTCCACGCCCCTCCTTCGACAGCCTGACTGTTGTCCTGTGGAGGCTGTGCAGGCCAGCAGAGGGCCAGGAACACGGTGAATCTTCAGGAGGTGTTTGTTAATGAATAGAGTTTAAAAAAAAATGCTCCTCAGAAAATAACAAGTGTCGGTAAGGATGTGGAAAAATTGGCACGCTCGTGCCCTGGTGGTGGGAGTGTGAAGCTGTGCAGCTGCTGTGGAAAACGGTACGGAGGATCCTCAGAAATTAAAAGTGAATTACCAGGCAACTTGGCAATTCCACATACATCCCAAAGAATTAGAAGAAAGGTCCCGAACAGGTATTGTACCCCCATATTGACAGCAGCATTAGCCACAGTAGCTGAAAGGTGAAGGAAACCCACATGTCCATCCGTAGAAGGGTGAATGGATAATCAACATGTGGTCCATCCACACAATGGAACATTATTCAGCCTTAAAAAGGAGGGAAATCCTGACACAGGCTACAACACGGGCGGGCCTTGAGGACATTATGTTCATGAAATCAACCAGTTACAAAGAATAAGTACTGAATGACTTTACTTACATGAGGCCCCTAGAGTCTGATTCATAGACAGAAAGTAGATGGTGGTTTCTAGGGGCTGAGGGAGAGGGAGGGGAAGTTAGTGTCATTGGGGACAGAGTTTCAGTTGGAGAGATGAAAAGAGTTCTGGGGATGATGGTGGTGAAGGCTGCACAGCATTAAGTGAACGTACATGATGCCACTGAGCCATGGGCTTAAAGATCATACATTTTACCACAATTAAAAATATACATCAAGGCTTTTTTCTTTCCTGTTTTCAAGCAACCCTACCTTTTGCCATTCACACGAAGTAAATAGTGGGGCCCAAGGCAAAGAGTGAGGCTGCAGGAGCAAATAGGGTTGGTGGCGGGGGGAGGGAGGGATGCAGGTCCCCCAGGGAGCGTGGAGGTGATGGAGGCTTAGGGAGGACCTCAGAGGGACCAGAGAGGGCCTCAAGCATAATATGGAGCGTCCATGGTGGAGAACAGATGGTTCTGAGGAGATCGTCTTTCCAGGGGAAATAGCAGGAAGACAAGGACCCAAGGAAGGCGGGAGACTGGCAGCCCCTGGGGCCAGGGGAGGGCTGAGCACCAGGGGTCCCTTGCTTCCCGGCAGGAAGGCCACCCTGTGCTCTGTGTCCCCTGGAAACGGGACCACTGGGGACCCCATATAGCGACTTAAGAAAGAAAACCCCCACACACACATTGAAAAGGATATACCAACCTAGAAGGACTACATTTTGTGCTTTTTTGTTTTTCCCTTCTGGTACTAAATATATGATCATAGGAGAAACTTTGGAAAATACAGAAAAGTGGACAAGAAAAATAAAAATCTCCGTCACTCCAACACTCAGAGTTACAATTTACACTTTTGACTCTTCAAAAAATTCACACATGGATTTCATAAAAATTTCCAACATTTATCACATTGTTGTAAAACCTGCTTTCTTTTCACCTAACCACGTAACAAACATTTCTCCACTGCACATGTTGAAATGGGACATGGTGCCCCATTCTATACGTGGCCTTCATTTAGCTCACAAGCCCTGGACACTGCTGGATGTAGTGGACAGCTCCTTCCGAGTCACGTGTGTGGTGCCCTGCAGGTACCAGGTACAGTAAGTCCCCTATATATGAACAAGTTACATTCCAAGAGCGCGTTCGTAAGCTAATTTGTTTGTAAGTCCAACAAAGTTAGCCTAGGTACCCAACTAACACAATTGGCTATGTAGTACTGTACTGTAATAGGTTTATAATATTTTTCACACAGATAATACATAAAAAACAAACACGAAAATAAAGAAAACATTTTTAATCTTACAGTACAGGACTTTGGAAAGTATAGCAGTCCCAGCTACAGCTTTTACACTTGCTTCTGGACATCCTGGGCTTGAAATAAAGATACTGTACTGCTACTGTACTCTGTATAGTAAAGTAC